GTAGAAGTACTGCTGTGTTCTTCTCACTGTATTATGTCAGGAGGCAACATGAGGTTGGTTTTTTCCATTACCAGTTTTTATGTGAACTGTTGCTGGTTGATTAAGATGGTATCTCCCAAGTATTATAGCTGTCATGTTAATTGGTAAATATGCTGTGCTTATTAATTAATAATTAATGATATATTCATGAGAATTAGTGAGCATTTTTGGGGACATATATTGAGACTCTGTAAATATCTTGTTCCTCATCAAACTTTTACTCACAAATTTTAGCATCCATTGATGGTTCTGGCTTGAATCAATTACAATGATGGTTGTAAAATGGTGATTTTCTAATTCTTTCTTTCTTCATCTATTAGTTGTATTCTACTAGTAGAGCTTTCCTTTCTCCTTTTTTTTCTTTCTACCAGCATGGACTCATTGATTTCTATTTTACTCAAAGGTTACAACTTATTGACCTATTGCTGTCATTATTTATTTTGATGCTTAAATTGTCCTAGATTTGGCCAGTGGAGACCCCTTCAGGCTCCTATATTCTTTTGACATATCTCCATAATTCTTTAAGTACCTTCTTATTTTCTTGCACAACAAATTATTCCAGTTTCACCCACTCCATCATGGAGCCATAGGTCCTTTTAGTAGAGAATGGTATTTAAAAATCAAAGAGTGTTAGGTGTGTTCATAGCTACTGGGGTACTGTTGGATTTAGACCCTCTCGGTGGACAGAACTAGGAAACATATCAACATATATACACATGTATACCTATACTTATATTTTTCTATATTTTTATCTATGTAAATTAAAAATCATTTCATACCATCTCCTCTAATTTCAAGCCACATCACTGGGTTTACTCTAATCTTCCTTCTTTTTATACCTGTAATTCCCTTCTCCAACAGTGAGAAAACTGCCTACCTATATCCTTAATATATTTATTTGTTTGCTCAATTCCTGGTATGTAAGCCATCTGCTAGACATGGTGGCAAAAAGTATGGCCTGTCTCTATGAAGTTAGCTATTTTTATCATTTTATATATATATAAATTATATTTATAATATAAATGTGTTTTTATTAAAATTATATATAATTATATACATTATAAAATATATAGTATACATGTCTGCATGTTATATATAAATATATGTATATATGTAATTAAATATTTCATATGAAATTGAATATAATGAAATAAAATATTTTCCATATGTATATAAGAAATTATATATCCCATATTAGAAAGCCCATATAATACATAAAATATATCAATATAAGTAAATATAAGATATCTGATTTTGTGTATATGTTTTCCCCCTAGATTTACTGAGATATTACTGATATATAACATGAAGTTCAAGGTGTAGTATGTGATTATTTGATACATGTATATATTGCAAAGTGATTACCACAGTAAGGTTAGTTAACACTTCCATCCCCTCACATAATTACCACTTTCTGTGTGCATAACAATTAAAACTTATTCTGTTAACAACTTTCAAGTATAATACAGCATTGTTAATTATGGTCACCATGCTGTACATTAGATCCCTAGATCTAATAACTAGGTTTATACTCTTTGATCAACTAATTAGATCTAATAACTAGGTTTATGCCCTTTGATCAACATCTTCTCATTTCTCCCATCCCCTGGTAACTACCATTCTACTCTGTATTTTTGTGAGTTCAACTTTTTTAGATTCCACACTGAGTTCATACAGTATGTGTCTTTCTCTGATTTATCTCACTTAGCATAGTGCCCTCAAGGTCCATCCATATTGTTGCAAGTAGTAGGATTTCCTTCTTTTTTGTATGGCTAATAATGGCTATTTCTGTGAAAAAATGCCATTGGAATTTTGATAATAAATGTACCTGTGTGTGTGTGTATGCGTGCACGTGTGATCCATTCACGTGTCCATGGACACTCAGGTTGTTTCCATGTCTTGGTTATTGTAGATAATGCTGTAATGAACATGGGGATGCATATATCTTTGAGTTAGTATTTTCACTTTTTTTGGATATATATCCAGAAGTGGAATTGCTGGATCATGTGGTAGTTCTATTTTTAATTTTTTGAGGAAACTCAGTACTGTTTTCCATAGTGGCTATACCAATTTACATTCCCATCAACAGTGCTCAAGGGTTCCCTTTTCTCTACTTCCTTGCAAATACTTGTCATTTGTCTTTTTGAAAATACCATTCTAACAGGTGTGAAGTGATATCTCATTGTGGTTTTAATTTGCATTTCCTTAAAATTAGTGATTAGTGATGTTGAACATATTTTCATGTACCTGTTGGCCATCTGTATGTCTTCTTTGGAAAAATGTCTATTCGAGTCCTTTGCCCATTTTTAAACTGTTTTCTATTGAGTTATATGAGTTCTTATACATTTTGGATATTAACTCGTCATCAGCTAGATGGTTTGAAAATATTTTCTCCCCATTCCATAAATTGCCTTTTCATTTTGCTGTTTCCTTTGCCATGCAGAAGCTATTTAGTTTGATGTAGTCCCACTTGTTTATTTTTACTTTTGTTACTTGTGTTTTTGGAGTCATATCCAAAAAGTTATTGCCAAGACCAATGGGAAAGAGATCTTCCTCTGTTTTTTGCTAGTAGTTTTACCATTTTGGGTCTTACATTTAAGTCTTTAATCCATTTGGAGTTAATTTTTGTGAGTTGTATAAGATAGGGGTCCATTTTCATTCTTTTGCACGTGACTATCCAGCTTTCCTAATATACATTATTGAAGAGATTATCCTTTCCCCACCGAATATTCTTGGCTCCCTTGTCAAATATTCATTGACTGTATATGAGTGGGCTTATTTCTGGGCTCTGCATTGGCCTACTTGTCTGTTTTTTATGCTAATACCATGCTGTTTTGATTACTATAGCTTTGTGAAATCAGGTTGCGTGATGCCTTTAGCTTTACTCTTCTTGCTCTTTACTGTTTTGACTATTTGGGGTCTTTTATGATACCATATACATTTTAGGATTCTTCTGTGAAAAATGCCATTGGAATTTTGACAGAAATTATGTTGAATCTGTAAATGGCTTTGGATAGTATAAATATTTTTACAATATTAATTCTTTCAATCCATGAACCTGGGATATCTTTCCATTTATTTGTGTCTTCTTCAACTTCTTTCATCAGTGCGTTGCAACTGTCAGTGTGTGAATCTTTCACCTCCTTGGTTTATCCTAAAGCATTTTATTATTTTTGATGCTACTGTATCAAGGGAAATACACAGTAAGGCCTTTCTTCAGATGCACCTGGAGCTCACTGCTCATACTTCCACATGGTTGTTCCCTCATGCCTGACCCTCAAGAAGTTGCTGGTCTAAAAAATGCAGAGCTCCCCAAGGAGGAAGAGCCCCAATCACCACCCATCTCTCAGTAAGCAGCCTATTCTCCAAGTGTTACAAACAGCTGCAGCCAGCTCCACAAAGATGCTTAAGCCAAATGCTAAACCTGGGGAAGGAAAAATTTTATATTTCAATTTTAATAAATGAAATAACTGGGACATCAATTGAAATTATATTTTATTAACTAGGTTAAGTGTGGTTTCCTTAGGTTGCAGGTTTTCTTCCAGGTTTTGGTGGCACCGCATTTGTGACTTAGCCCAAGGTAATATATATATCTGCTCTGCTTGTGTTACTGTCCCCATTAGGCAGAAGGGTCTGAGGGCAGGGACTTATTTCATCGATTTCTAGTGCTTAGCGGAGGGTCTAACACACGGCAGGTGCTAATTGTTTATTGGATTAAAGAATATATCCATTAATCAGTATAGATGGTGGGAAAGGAGCTGTATGTTGGGAAGGAGACTTTAAATTTCAACCTCTGGACCCACGTGGATAAAGATAGCCCAGGTCATCCATCCTTAGAAACCTTTCATTTCAAGTTTTTGTTTTCCTGGTAACACAATACAATTCAAGAATAAATCTTGAATTTTTTCTTGATATTGGTTACATTGATATTGCACACCAATCCCATGGTTACCATCCAGCACCAACAATCTTGTTCTGTTTTCACCTGCACCTTCCTGAGTTTTTAACTAAACATCCAATTTCAAAGATCCCACGTTAAAGGATGTCTTCAGTTCAAATTACCCTTTCTCATTTTCTGTCTTCAACTTTTTTCTTTTTTCCCCGAGAATATTTGCAGAGTTAATTTTTCTTAAAAATTCTTTTGTGGTGTTCCAGATGCGAATGATCATAAAACATTCCAAATACAGCATGTTGTGTAAATGTTGAATCGATCGATAAAAATGATGAGTTTAGTAACAATATCCCTGACGATCGCGGAGGCCTGTTTTAATTTAGAGGGCGCCACCACACGTCAGCGATTCAAAGCTATCGGGCAAACCACTCCGGACCAGGAATTCCTTAGACAACCCTGACGCCACTGAAGTTTCCAGACGCGGCCAGCTCTCGGGACTGACAAAAGGAGACTCGGCATCGCTGAGCCAGTCTGCCCGTTTTCTCCGCGGCAGCTAAAGTGCCAGGAATTTCTAGGCTTTCCCTTCCCGGAGCAAATCACAATCACAGTCGGCACCATTCGCGGCGCTGGGAGCAGGTGAGCGGGGCGGC